CCTCTAAAAACAATTCCAACTTCAAAAGTTCTCTTTGGCTTAGCCGGAGTCTGGCATCGGACTGTCGCGCCAATCGTTGGTTGAGTTGTCGTCGGTGGCCGCTACTGATTGTCACCAGTGATCGAAAAATATCAAAAAACCTCCAGAGATTCTTATTGACCTGATCTTTCTAGATCTGATCTTCTTTTCACCAAAAATAGGCTCGATCATCATAGATCTGGCTTTTAAGTTTCGGTCTCTTTTTTGTGTTTTTTTTTTTTGTTTAAACAAAGTTGATGATGGATCTTTTGCTTGTTTGCAAGGGGCTTCAGCACTAAGGTTCCTCCCTAAGGGGATGACTATGTTGCCTTTTTTTTTTTGGTTTTTTGTATATATTTTTTGGTCAACTTTCAATTTGGGTTAGATGTTTAAGAGATTTAGAGTTTCGGGTTGTGGGAAAGCTTGGGATTTTTTTGGCATAAAGAAATTGAGGTTTCTGGGTGCTTGAAGATGTGTCTGAGAGAGAGGCTGGAAGGGGATGAAGCTAGGTTCTTTATAGGGTTGGGTCTATGTCTAAGATAGTGGGTGGTCTAGGGGCTGTAGAATGTGGCTATAGGAGCGACTGTAGGGGTGGCTATAGGGCTCTGGTGAAGAGGGTGGCCGGTTTGGTGGTTAGTCTAAGGTGCATGGTGATGGTCACAAGGGTGACTGGACAAGCTGGTGGCAGGGCGGCTAAACAGGCTGGTGCCATGTACGGCACCATGCCTATCCCCGTCCCATCCATCTTTTTTTTTAAATATTATTTTATTTTTAATTTTTTTGTTTGTGTTTAATTAATAAATTAATATTAATGTAAAATGAAATAAAATAAAATAAATAAAAGATAAGTGGGCTTTGGCTTAAAGAACGAAATTGGATTTTGGGCCTAGTTGAATCAAATTGGGCTTGGAGTCCAGTTAAGTCAAAATTGAGCTTGAAGCCCAATTGAATTGAAATTAGGTCTGGGTTTGAAAACCCAATACATGTGATGAATTTTAAATCGAGATTCAACTAAAAATCGAACAAATTTGATGGCTACATTCTTCACAAAATTTTTCTTTTTTTTTTATTAAAAAATATTATTTAATTTTTATTTGAAAAAAATAAATTAAAACTTTATTATTAAAAAATTCTCAAAACATTTTAGTATATTGATAATATTACAATAAATTTTCTCATTTAAAGATTTTTTAAGAATTATTATTATGATTTTTTAATAATCTTATCTTCGAAGGCTAGTATCTTTAATTAGTTAATACAATTAACATTTATGCATTATTATATATAACCTTATTTTTTAAAAAAAATATTTTGTTATTTAGTTTGTTATATTTTTAATTAAAAATAATAAGTAAATGAAAATATTTTTGTATTAAATATATTTCTAAATACTCCAATATTTTGGTAAGGTTTTAAAAAAATATTCTCAATTAGATATTTTTTTTTAAATTACTACTTAGATTTCTTTAATAACTTACCCTTTGAAGATTTTCAATTTTGTTTGAAAAAGATTTTTTTAACACTTTTTTCCTTTTTTTTAAATGTATATTTATATAAAAATTTAACATTTAAATGTGCATAAATAAACACATAAATATCTTAGCACAAATATACAAAAATAAAGGAAATAAATAAAAATTAGCCAAAAAAGACTGCTCCGAGTTGGTCAGTTCGATTTGGAGTGGTTTAGATAGATCAGACCGGTTCAATTGGTTTTCAAGCAATTTATAGGTAGTTTATGCACCTGTTCAATCAAACTAATTCAAGGGAAAGTAGCAGTAGTTGGATCTTGAGTCAGACTTGCGGATCTCGGGTCGAATTAGATCCATGCATGGGCAACTTTTCTTTTTAAGCTTATAAAACATTAAAAAAAAAAATTTTATTTCATTTCAAACTTTTTCAAAAAACAAAAAAAAAAAACCACAGCTCTCTCAAAATCCAAAAGGGTTAGTTACCCCAAACCCAATAATTGACCAATGGCCATGCACTAATCGCTATATGTCACTGTCAGCAACTTGTCGTTGGCATTGGATCTACACCAAAATACATCTAAATTTTTCTCCCGACCTCCTTTTTCTAGTTTTTCATTGGTGTTTTCGGAAAAATCACCCAAACACTGTAGATCTAGGTTGAAAATCCACGGGTTCAACTCCAAAAATCTCCTCTTTTCGTCACCCAAACTCCCCGATCATTCACTATGTTCTTCTACCACCCATGGCCCTTCTCGTCTCCAAAGATCTAACCTCGAAACCCCTTAGAACTAGCCTAATTTGAAACTTTTTTTTCTCTTCAACCTTTTTACAATTTTTTTTATTTTTCTCTCTTGTTGTTATGTTTCTACTACTTCTTCTAAGAGGAATGGGCTTCTTTGCTTGTTTGTTTTTTATGTTTTTCTCATGTCTAATTGTTATGAGTTTCAGTTGGATTATTTTTTGGGCCTTTTTTTAGCTCAACTGTTCCCTTCGAGGATGTGAGTTTTGGTTATTTGGGTTGTGTAATTTTTTTTTGTTTGTTTTGGTGGTTTTTAACAAGGATAAGTGGTATTGTGGGGTTGGATTTTAGTATTCGGTTGTTGGGGATGGTAGATTGCAGTGGGTGATGGTTTGGCTACAATATTATTTGGTGGAGAGTGGTGTGGCTTGTGGTGGTAGGCGATGGTTTAGGCAGTGTTGTTGTTGGCAAAGGGTCTCGACAAAATTGGGATTTTTATTTTCATTTTTGTAAAAAAATAACCCCCTTCTCACGTCATTTGAAAGGCTCCATTTTGTAGGGCTCAATTAGTATGAATCACAAATTTTCAGGTATTTGAATCCTTGATTTTCTAGAGTTGGGAGATTGGTAGGTGGTTAGCAGCTAAAATTCAGCTGCCATGGTGGCCATAAGGTGGCTCTGCAAGGGTAAAAGGGTTGCTGTAAGAGGAAAAACTGATGGAGTTCCTTAGGTAAAGTTAATGAAATTCCATTAAATAAAAATTAAAATCAATGGATGTAAAAATTTCATTACATAAATTAAATATACAAAATTTAAAAAAAATAATAATAAATTTTGATATATATTTTTTATTAGATATTTTTAGTAAAATTATTAACAAAATTTTTATCGTTGGATAATTTAAAATACGATATAAAAATAATACGAATAAAAGACACAAAAATAATATGATTTAAAATTTTAAAAAAATTATAAATAAATTTAATAAAATTAAAAAATTATTTTTTATATTTTAAATCAAAATAAATTATGACACGTAATTTTAATATAAAACACGATACAAATATAATATTTTACATAAAATGATGACATAAATTATCAAATCTATCTTTAAATAAATATCAATAAAACTTAAATTATAAATAATATTTTAAATAATTTTTTTATATATTATTAATTTTTATATTAAATTTTATTAATTTATCGATTTTAAATTTTTATTAAAATTTTTATTATATTATCTTTTTAAAAAAATTTAATAAATTTCACCTCAAACATTTCATCTAATTTTTATCTTGGTGCAAGAGTAAAAGGGGCTGGATAGTGCCGTGCGCAGCACTTGCCCCAGTTTCTTTTATTATTATTATTATTATTATTATTATTATTATTATTATTATTACAAATCAAATTGATTTTAATGAATTTGGCCCTAATATTGAATTTGGGCTAGCAATCCCATCAAACCCTTGGGCTTTTAATGTAATTTAAAATGAATCGGATCATAAACTCAGAAAACCGAAAACAAAATTCAATTGAGCATTAAATGGATTCAGTGAAATTTTGAATATAAACTCAAAAGTCAAATTAATTTAGAGTACGAAATTATTAAATTAAACAAAATTATGTCTATAATTATTATTAGATTTATTAAATTTTTTAATTTAATTTCATCAAAAACTTAGAAGTCCATTTCATTGTTTCTTTCTAAAGTCTTTCATATGGTCAAACTTGTCAGCTCAAATTTTTTGTAATTAAAATGAAAGATCAGTTATATTCATTAAAGTTGATATTAGAAAGTTGTAAGTATGAAAGAACTTATATGCATCATATCCTCTTAAATAAAAAAATTAACTAAACCTAAAAAATGACATATTAGCGAAAACTTTTTTTATTAAAAATATGCCTTCTACTTCCATTCCATGTTGAGGTTTCTCCATTGGCGCAAAGCAATTATGAACAAGTTTGCCTTTTGCTGGACAAGTAGTCAACCTGAAGGAAAAAAAAAACACTTTCCGCCTCCAAGTAATTTTATTTCCCCAACAGAAACATGTGAGTAAATTATTTGGTCCTAGGAATCCTGTGGGTAGTTATATCATCAAAGGAAATGGCTTGTAATTTAAGAAGTTTGCACTACGAAACAAAGCTATGGTCCCTTTTAAAATCACACAGCCATGAGATCGTGAGGTGAGCGCCATTGGCATCCAGCCACCCACGCATCTTTATCTTCATGTCCACGGCGTGCATCAAAAGAATTGTCCATTTGTTTTAGCACCGTTGCCATCGGACAACAATGCCAAAACAGAGAGAAAACAACGTTTTATAACACAGCAAAAAATTGTGCGACAATTATGCTTTTCTATAGTGAAAACTAAGATGATAATGGTTATGCTAAATGATTCAAAAGCCGAATAGGAATAACTTTAAATAATACAATTCTTAATTAGAAGATTATCTTTTCTTGAACCATGTGAGCTCATAACCCACAGGTTCAAAATCAAAACCTGACTCTAATTTACTTTGATTTAGTCTTACAATTTTATTTCTTAAATGATGATTTATAAGTATAATTTCAAAATTTTAGATATATATATATATATATTATAAAAAATTCTCACAAGTATATGAACCTGAGATTATAACATTACATTTATTTTCCAGTTTTTCATCATTTTCTTAACAAAAATATCTATTATTTGTAGGACCAAAGAGAGAGACAAGGCTTTGCAAATGTAGGCCGTGAAGAAGTTTCGCGTGAGAAATGGAATTTAATATTGTCATTTGAGGCGATATGAAAAAGTTGTGATTATTAGTAAACAATGGTTACAGCTCCATAATGTTGGTATCTACAGATTTTATGTGAATAAGAAAAAATCTGTGTAGTAATAATTAATGTACACCGGTCAGCTTTCTAGTTTGTTGTCCTATGAAACGTTGAATTTATCTCCTTGAAGTATGATCTCTCCGCCCTTGAAAACCGCGTTTGAAATATCGTCCATTCCTTTTTACATCGCTCCCTTACCTGTCACCACTCCATTATTAATAGTATAAAACAAAAAAAGAAATGAGAGAAACCAAACATGAAATTGAGTTGTTATTTTATAAAATAAAATTTATAATTAGATATTTTAATTTAGTTTCATCAAATATTTTATATTATTAACTAATATTATAAATCAAAATATTAACATGATAAATATTAATTACTACAAATATGTCATATGTCATAATATTATTAATTATTTTTTTAGTATAGCTGTTTACTGTAAATAAAATTAATGTGTGAAGTAAAATACTTGATAAAAATAAATTTTGAATATTTATAAATTTTTTTATAAAATCAAAATATAAAAAATAATATAGTTCAATAACTACTTCGAACATTAACCCAATAAGAGATGGAAGGATAGATAGTTTAAAAATGGTTAAAAATGGTGCATACCCCTTGCCATGGTGCCTTCCCATTTTGTGCTTCTCCCTGCCAAAAGCAAATTATTTTTAGTACTTCATTCAAGCAAATCAAGAATCATGCAGAGAATATAAAATAAGAAGAAAAAGAAACAAGTGAGGCTAGAAGATAGAGGAAAGTTCTCATTACCTGGCTCCCAAGAGAGGGAAGAGATTGATGAACAATCCACTGGGAATCTACAACGCCTATCTTCTCATGGGCGGGCTGTTTTCAAGGGATATATCCATGTTTAGTAAAGAGACTTAGTTAATTACATCAATCACTAAACAAATTATTCTTTTGTAAGGAGTTGGGGTAACAAAACACAATACAAAGAGACAAAAAACGGAAGCAACAGGCTGCTAACCTCTACACATTTTCTGAGGGCAAGATCAAGACCCCAGCCATGAACCAAGTCATTCTGCAAATTGTCCAACAAAAACAATTAAATAAATAAGTCGAAAAAATAATTGAGAATACGGCAATGTTAAAATGAACAAGTACACCCTCAATACCTGAATCATATGCCATACACACCGCCATGCATCTCGTGAGAACACAGGAGCCATTATCTCAACAAACCTACATTTATGAAGGAAAAGAGAATGCTGATATTTACTAAACCTATGGAGAATTAAGACCCGATTATAAACAATAACGCTCGAAGCTACATACGCTGCACAAGGAGGAAGATGTGGACGATTGCACCAGCCCGGTCTCTCCTCTGTTTCTCTGAACCAAAATCAGGATGAAGAAAATTATTTATCATTCATTGAATTAATCAGAATTCAAGGATTCCTGGTATATTTGCCCCACGATTCTTACTTGTGAACTTCACAATCATCTCTTCTCTTTGTCATTTGCCAGGTTAACTGTTTATTCGGTTCCAGACCAGGCTGTGAAATCTCCAGTCCATGCTTCCTCACCAGTTTAATGTATCTGAAAAATATAATAAATAAACATATTTTGTAATTTTCTTTCTAAAATGAAATGGATTAAACTTGAACAAAGTATTTATTAACAAGTCCCACAATGTCCAACACTCACTTTTCTGCATTGAAATGTTCAACCCCCAAGTCCTCATCCCAGATAAATATGTAGTCATATGGTGCCACAATGTCAGGGTGTAAAAACCGCTTGGCATACCACCTAGGTAAAACAAAAATTATGAGTTAAATAAAATTTCTAAGCTACACAAATAACAACTAGTCAGTGCACTCAATCCTGCTAGCAAAAGCAGGACTTGGATTTGTGAACCTATATTCTAAATACAACTACTTACCATTTAGTCTGCCTCCGAACACTCACATGTATTGCCTGCTTAGACCACTCAAACTCATCCCATTCAGTTGTTCGACCGTCATAATGAAAGAGAAGGATAGTAAAATTCTCTGAAAACTGATGGAAGCACATTTTTAGTCAAATCTTGCAATGTGCACCATACAAACACGTAGCATGCAGAAAACTCCATCCCCACCTCAGCTCTTGCCTACCTTGCATAAGTGCCATCATGCAGACGCGCACAAGGACGCACATTTGTGTGTATATATAAATATATATATCTATATATAGATAGATATATATATATATATTTATATATATAGAAAGAGAGACAGAGAGAGAGATTATACCTTTTTAACTGCTGCATCAATATTCTTTCGTTGATCATAACCAACAGTAAATGTCACAAGATATTTTGGCGTGCTAGTCAAGTCCTGCAGATGCCAATATTGTCAAAAAACAACCAGGGTAAAAGAAAAACACACAAAATGTTTTATTCTTATCTGGATATCATTCTTTGTTAAATCTATTGACTGGTACAAGTAATAATGGTTTTTACCACATGAACTAACATTTGCCTTTCTGAGATCCTGCCAATATATTAGGCATCTAGAAAAGGCTCTATGCTGAATGAACCAAAGATACAGATAATTTTACCCCATAGCACAAGATCCTTGCTTCCCTGACAGTAATTCACTGATTCCTTTTTCCTTCTTTCCAGGCTAGAAGAAAGAAAGTAAATTCATATATCCAAGTTAACTCACTAAAGATACCAAGATACATTACTACCATCCCCCCCTCCTACACTGATATCAATGTGTCACACATTTAACACTTCTATGTATATCTGTTGTTTCAGTTATAATTTAGCATATGCCCTGGAACAAGAAGAAGCTTTGTAAAAAGAGATGTTTCCAGCAATTCCAAAAGCAATTTTTCCTTTATTGAAATTTATTCAATTGAAACCAAAGAAATTTATCTTCACATACCACATCTAAACATATTCATGTGCGCATTAGAAAGTTGAAAGAATCCAGGGTTCAAAATTAATACACTAAAGGTCCAAGAAAACACACCTCACTAGGTTTGCCCCACAATCTACGTAAGTATAAGTCTGACTCAGCTCTAACAATTCCTGGTGGTAGTCTTTCAGCACCTCGAGGATTTGATGGGACCCAAATCTGCATCACGTCATAAAGGAAGCACAAAAATATGGCAAATTAGAGTAGCATCATACCATTCAGGTCCTACAAAATCACCAAACACAAAATTTACATCATTTATGAACATGGTGATAGCAAAAGATGGATTCAAATAATGCATTCAGATATGCCAGCAATAAATTAAAGCAATGTCTACCATACTACCACATAATACAAGCACAATTCATGCATGGGTATAAATGCGTGCACATATAGATGATACATGCTCATATGCATTCACACACAGAAACATGATAGGATAAGAATAGAGCAATGACATGACTTCTCTCTTATATATCTAGGTGTTCTATTCAGTTTCCCTGATGTATAATCATATTCTACAGGTAAGCCAAGGGAACCATATATGAAGTACCAAGAGAACTATTGGGTTTAATCATTAGTTACCCAAAAGAATGAGTATAGAAAATGTCCCTGCATTCAGGAGCTTGAATGGCATGTGACCCACACTATTTCCTTGTTTTCCCAAGGAAAACCCCCCACACTCTCTTCAACAATTACCTAAAGCCTATAATGCAAGCGAAACAGCTAGACTTAAATTGGGAGTGCAGAAAAATAAAAGCGCACGAAAAAACTATCCACTGAATTCCACTCCCCCCTCATGAAACACAAATTTGGAAAACAAGTAACACAAGCAAAGACTAGCCAGGCTATTGAAATTTTACAGAGCAAAAGTTAGGCAAAAAGCCTGAAACCTGCTGTGAAAAACTACAGGTTATTTCCAGAACATTTTTCCACAAGTTTGATTTACTCATATTAAGCTTTAATCCAAATTAAGCATATAAGAGAATCAGTTCCAATGATTAATGCAAAACCTCCATCTCGAGCTATTGTAGAAACGCTGAGGTTAGGACAGGAGGTAAACCTTTGATGTGACATTAACAGAGCTGCCATTATTACCAATTGAAGGTGGCACAGAACTTGAACTTGAGGGGCCTGACTTTTTGTACTCAGTGTATTTGAAATCAATGGTAGTAAGAACTCTGGATGATAGATTGAGCTGCCAAATTCAGACAAAATATAAAAGTTCCATTATGTAGATGAAAAAAAAAAACCATTATCAAATAGATGCATAATGATGAACATAAAGTTTGTCTACCTTTGTTAATGACAAAGTTGGGAAAGATAGTCCTATGAAGAAGCCAAAAACTATTCCAACAAATGTTGTTACAATAAGCCTCATGCTCTCATTCGGCTTTCTACTAACCGTACTGCAGTCACCAAGATGGAATAAAAGTTAAATTACTTCCACATCAAAGTAACTTTTTCCACACATACACAGATAATATGAAGTTTATTCTTTCTAATGAAGAGGCCATCATAGGTTGTGAACCTGTGTGTGAAGATCCCCATTCTATTTAAAGTTGACTGTATATTCACAACAAAACTCTGGACAATTCAGATTGCAAAAGCCTTTGAGCGTTATTTAGCAGGCATTCAGTTGCCAATTCTCCATAAAACAAAGAGAGACCCTCAGCATAAAGACCTGATGTGATCAAAATATTGTATTAAATTGATGAAGCAAAACAATAATTACAGATAAAGTAAATTAAGAAAGATGGATACTAATAAGAACTGAGATTCAAACATTGACTTTGCAGCACCTAACTCTAAGCTGATATCCTAGTTCAATCAAATTTACTAGTTCATACAGAAAGCAGTCAACAAAAGACAAGCTAATGAGACCCTTCATACTTGCCCTAAGGATTATAATAGTATATATATATATTAAAAATATGCAAGAATCCCCATAAGGAACTACTAAGTACCACCTAAGAATAGTAACTCCACAAAGCAAGTAACCATGTGCTACCCATTGACAAAAGATCACGGGGCAAACACAAAAAGCAGACATTCCAGATCCTAAATTCAATAACTCTATAATCATGTAAACTTGTGCCCTTTTTTTAACTAGAACCTAAAATCCTAAAATTGTTGAATTCAAAAAATTAAAAAGGTTGCAATACCGAGAATTTCTAGTTAAGAGCAACAACCGTGCTTGCTTACGTTGAAAGATACAGAACAAAATGATCAATAACATAAACCTGACCTAAATGTTACCTTAAAATCAGATCTTATTCTTATAATCTTTTTTCAATTCAACCATTTGTCTACTAATTTATAATAAATAAACTTCAAACAACCACGAAAAATCTAATGAAAGAAAGAAAGAAACTGAAATACTAAGACAAGGAATCATTATTCAAATCTACTTCAAGAAAGTTTAAACGACTGAATGCTCATATCGGCTGCAGCACAGACGAAAATTTTCTCGGGAACAAACGGAAAACGAGGCTTTAAATGAATTTGAATAAATAAATAAATAAATAAAAAGAAACTACTAACATTTACCTACCTGAACGGAAAGATGATTGCCAACAACTGAGCAAGAAATGATAGAAGCTGAAAGTGTATTTGAAAAGGACTCTCAATCACGAGAAAATCACCTCCTCCTCTTCAACTGAAAACCTGAGCAAATGATTTTATGCTTTCTATGAGAGAGTTAACTTCGTGATAGCCTTTTCTAAAGGGAAAATGATAGAAAACGAGGAGGGAAAAAGACTTGAAACTGAACGAGAAATTTCAATTTCCCGGGGAAAAATAAAAGGAAAAAAATCTCTCTCCTTTGATCCTGTGATTTTATAAAAGCAAAAAAGGAAGGACACAAAAGGTTTTAATCTTTAGACTAAATTGGGTTTTTTTTTATTTAATTTCATTGGTTGAATCGACATGAGATGAAGAGTTTCATTTTGATTTGACATTGTGAGCAAGATGCTTAAATTTCGTCGCAACTAGATTTCCTGCTAACCTATTGTTTAACTGTCTTAAATTCTTCTTGTTCCATTCTTATTCTTGTTCTGATTTAACTATGTACACATTCCAAGGAATATTTCCCAATTTTACTAGATTAGTAGGCAGGTGTGAGTACTAATCTTAATAATTTAATTCACCAAAATAAATTAAAATATATTAGTTTCGTTTAATTTATTCTATTTTGCTATTAATCGAGCAAAAAAAAAACGATTTATCTTATTAGTTTGATTGATTATCTGTTTATAATATATATAATATAAATGTAAAATATTTTTATGTAATAATATAAATTATATATTTTATTAATAATTAAAACTGATCAAATCGATATATTTAGGTTGGTTTCAATTATTTTGATTAATCATTTTGATATAATTCAATTTAATTGGATATTTTAAATAAAATCTATTAGTTTGATTTTCAAATTTTCAAGAATCAACTTATCGACGCTCTCCCTAATAATAAGAGTATATAACTCTTAAAAACATAAGGAGTACATTTTTTTTCTTCAGTAAATGGTAATGGTAAGTAGTAAATAAAAAGTAGTATTAACTCTTGGACAAAAAAAAAAAACATTTTACTTTTGTTTGCCCTTTTTTTTTTATTTTTTGGGATAAAAGGTGGGAATGGGATTAATTACTGGAGGTTTGTTTTTTTCTCTTTTCAAGGCTTGGAATGAAAATACGCTGAAATCCAATTCCAGTAAAGCAGATATTGGTTATTTTTTAAATATTTTTCGTTATCTAAGTTCATATCTAATTAAATAAATATAATCTGTTAAATATTTAAATTTATTAATTTATATATTTTTATTAAAATATTTGATAAATTAAATTAAATTTAAAATTTAGGTTTATTTTTAATTAATAATAAATAAAAATTATTTATTAAATTTTGAATCCTTTCATAAATATAAAATTTTATATATTTTATACATGTTAACAAATAATGAATTCAAATATCTAATATTATTTATTAAATTTAAAACAAATTTCGGATAATCAAAAATATTATTTAAAATCTATTTAAATCTATTATAAATAGTAAATTTATTGTTAAAATATATTAACTATTCGTTTATAAATATTCAAATCTATTATAATCGAATCAAACAACACTAAATATATTTTTTATTTGACGTAATTCATATATAATAATATAAAATGATCAAGCGGTCATTTTCCCACAAGACGTACTCCAAAAGGGCACTCCTTGATTGTTTTCAATAATTTACTTTTCTTACACAAGGGAGGCAACCAACCAAGAAGATGACCAAATTCTTTGACCTGTCAATTGGCCAAAGCCCCCTGACTGACTCATTCAAGTCCAACGCTACGGAAAGGAATAAGTAGGCCGTGCTCTCTTTGGTTCACCAAAATTAAAACCTTGCCCCATGCTTCTCTCATAATTCGCCTAAATATCCTTTTTTTTTTTTGTTGTCGTCTCCATCTCAATCCTGCGTTCGGTTTGACTTTCTGTGAGATTTTCATCAAATCTTATAACACTTTCGTAATGCTTTGGTAAGGGATGAGTATCATCAAGACTTGTGCTGCTCCAAGGAGCTGTGACCATCTGAAAATCAGGTGATGAATAGTAAAAATGTAATCGAATCAAGTCGAATTGATATAGTAAAAAGTTTAAATTCGAATATGATTTTTAATTCGTGATTCGATATTCGATTTGAATTCAATCAAATTTTATGTTTTTAATTCGAGCTCGATTTGTAATCGAAATCAAATTATTCAAGCTCACTCAATTAAATATGATTAAGTTCGTGAGTTACTCAAGTCGGATATAAAAATATTTGAACTCGATTCGATCGATGAATCGTGCTACTCGAGCTCCACTCAATAATAATCTAATCGAATTCGAATTTTATTCGAATCGAACCCTAATAATTTACGAGTATTAATATATCATTTATATTTATAATTGATAGTTTGTTATGCCGCTTAACAAGATGCAGGGCTTGTGACGGAGATATCATTGGCCTCGCTGATCCATTTCTAAATCAATCATCTGACTATGGCATAGATTATTTCTTTGGCCCATCCCATTCTAAATGACTGCAGACAGAAAGCGAGACAGAGAGAGTGAGAAGTGAGTAAGAAACGGTTGAAGGAAAAAAAAATGAAACCATATTAATAATATAGCAATTAACAAATATATTATATATATTTATTAAATGTATATAAATAATATGAATATAAAATGATATTATATTACTTTTTTTTTATATCCGATGAATAATTTAAAATTATATTCATCTCAAAAATTGATACCGTATTTATTTTATTAGAGAAAATTTTTTAATTTTTTATAAATATAAGTAAAATTGATATCATTGAACGCGGATAGTTGTTTCTAATGTTTTCCTTCAAGTGGCTCAAGCGTCAACTATAAGTAAATAGCTTGTCTTAAAATTTGTTTGTTTATTCAAGTTTTAAACATATTCCACGTTATCATCTGACTATAAATAAAGATTTAAACATTGACAAGTTTAAATATAATACAAATACAAATTTAATTATTTATAACTTTTTTTCATTCTAACGCCCAATGACCTGATTTAAGAATGGTTTTGCTTGATTCTTGGATTGGATTCACATATAGTTTCGAATGCCAAATTGAAGAACCTAGCTACTAATTGCTAGGTTAGGTGCGGTTGAGGCTTAAGCTTGTAGGTGAAGGAGAAATCGAGGGGTTGGGTGATTCATGGGTGCAATAATCATGAGACGTGTTTGACTTTTTTGTTGGTCTGGCCACTAAACACAGAAGTGCTGGGTTAGGCTCACCATCCCCTAAGCTTTGGTCTATGCAGAAAGGTTTTCCTGATGGCGGTAGATCTATTTAAGTTTTATTAATGCAATTTTCCCGTCTTCCTCTTCGTTTCTGTTTCTATTATTTCGGATTATATATTTTCTGCCTAGAAATTCAATCATGTCACATCACTTTGTTTGATATTTTTTAGTACTTTTATTTTGCAGAAATTGGTGCTTTGCTATGTCAAAAAACAATTTTTCTCATGATTGATAAATACGTAGCAAAATTTTAGAAGAAACGTGACATAATTTGATAAGTTGAGATAATTTTAAATGCGACGAGATAATATAATATAAAAATATATAATGAAGATATAAAAATAAATTAATTTATAATTTTAATAAAAATTATATATATTTAACAAAAATATATATTTTTTATATTTAATTTATAGAAATGAATTTGATATAATAATTTTTTTAATATTTTATACGTATTTAATATAAAATAAACACAATGTAAATAGATGAATTGTTAAATCTATGTTCTTGCATATATAGTCATTAGTGATTTTTTATTTGATTAAATGCTTAATTTAAGATCTACCGTTTGGACATTTTCTCAATTAAATATATTATCTTCAATTTGGTTTAATGTAGGACTATAGGTTTTCAAGTTAGTCTAATAAGATTCCATCACTCCAGTATAATACAAGCATGTTAAACTAAAGTGATATCCTTAATTGGCAAAAAATAAAAACAAAATTGTCATTTGAGCTAAAACACAACAATAAGTTTCTCTTATTTTCCTACACTTTTTTAGCAATCAAACACCTAAAAAATAACTAATCAAAAGCCTAAGAGATTATCTTCCTTTTCAAACTTAACCTGTCATTTTCTTTTTCTTTTTCCATGCTTTCTCAACATCCAAACACTTACAAAATATATAAAAAAAATCAAATCCAAAAATGAAATTATATTATATAATCAATCCCAAAAAATCAATTTTAAAAAATAAAGCCAAATCCAAAAAAATAATCATGGAAAATAATTAAAAAAAAAGCTCCTCTAAAAAAAGTCAAATTCCAAACAAAAAAAATTAAAATTCATGCGTAAAAAAGACTAAACCTTTGTTAGATATTAAACAAATAAAAACTATTAAAAATATAACAAAGAAAAGAGAACCCAAATTTGAAAACGAAGTAAAAAACAACATTCTTTTACCAATTGAATAAAATAAAAAGCTAAAAATAACTGAATGAACAGTTACTCGATTGAACCTTTGGTGCTTATGATTATTATTGAAGGAAACATTTTTGGACCCAAAAAGTTAAGAAAAGCTTCCATTTTGACCGAAAAGGCTACTATTTGAAAAATCAAAGATATTATCTTCCTTTTCTAAATTAACCCATTACTTTTCTCTCATTTTTCGATACTTTCTTAATATCCAAACACCCAAAAAATATATCAAAGAAATGTGAGATTCAAACTTTAAGGAGACAAAAAGTTAAGAAATGAGAAAAGAAGCAACAAAAATGTGGATTCAAAAGCAAAGACAACTACAAAAGTAAAGGAAATGCTTGAAGAACTATTTTTAAATTGATTTGCTTTTGGGTTTTTTTTTTTTTGTGAAAATATTTAGCTAATGTTTGTTATTTTTTTTGTCTGAATTTTTTGAAGGAATTAGTATTTTTACTGATAAAAGTGAACTTAATGGTTATTATTGGACTTTAATAGCACGTGCTTCACACTTTTGTTAGAAAGTCCTATTTTGAACCAACACAAAAATGTTTAATTCTAAATTGAACCAAATAAAAGATAATATCTTTAATTGAGAAAACACTCAAACGTTAGGTCTTGAATTGAGTATTTAGCCTTTTCATTTTTCTATTGGACTTTTAAGAGGCCTAAATGCTTAATATTTACAATAACTATACAAATTCCCCTCACATTTAAGAGACTAATAAATGTGTTGATGGGAGGACTTTCAAAATAAGCCAACTACTCATCATTGTGAAATATCATCGATCAAGAACATAGCATCCCATTTTCTTGTTATGCCTCTTGAGTAAGGTTGTTTGTGTTGGATAATGCAGCAAAAGAAGGAAGCCAGAGTACTACATGAGTTTCACCAGTTCCAAGCATAGAATCGGTGCTCTTAAGTGATATGACGTGGTCAACCATAACTCTAAAGTATTTCGTGTGTTACAGTCAACCCAGCAACAAAGATCCATGTCATGTTGTCGTGAATCATGTTTTCCAATAAGAATTCAACTCTAAAAGTGT